AAAAAAATAATAATAATAAACGATAGACATACTGTTTAATAATAATATCTAGTCGTATACTATTAAGTTAGTGCAAACGTGAGAATAAATTTGTACGAAATAATAAGCTTGCTCGCCTCTTTCTCGTAGCTTCTTCATTTAGAAAAATAAATATATTATTTAACAATCAAGTCGTACATTTTTAATGCATTATTATGACACAATTGTAGAAATTCTTAACTACAGACTCGTACTACATAGATCTTTAAGATTCCTTCTCTCTTCAGGGGAAAGCCCGGTCAAATTATAAAACCAACGCTTAGTGATCCATACTTCTCCCCGTACGCTTTCGTATCGCAGTCCGCCTGGCTGATAGCACGATTACCAGGCTGTCAAATTCCGTATCAAACGCGCGAGGATCCCCTCAAGAAGCCGGTGAAACGATTTCTCCGCGCGAAGAAATGAAAATGCTCGTTGTTTCGTCACGTGAAACGCTCGAGGGTCTCGCAAGTCGATCAAATTCTATCCGTTGGAACGCGAACGACAACAAAGTGCCAGCAACCGCACTGTGTAACGCGTAGAAACGAGAACGATAAACAGAGAAAGAAAGAGAGAGATTCGAACGTGGAAATCATAAGACGAATAGATGCAGAGGAGTAAGGGGGAGAGGGGGATGAAAGTAACGAAAGGAGAGAGGGACAATATCGTGAGCGTTTACGACGTCGTTTTGCCTCGATAAATATGCTCGGAACCCCTATTCGAGGGATGCAAAACACCCCTCTTTGGTAGGCGGGGTGCAACGAAACCTGTGTAATCTGCCATACGTTTCCCATGAATATGCATCTGCGAGGCTAATGCGATTTGATTCACGATTGGCCTAAGTGTACGGGCGAGGGGAAGATCTCTTGAAAGCTACAATAATTCGATACGTCGACCGTGAGGGCACAAATTAACGTTTGTTAGCGTAACGTTCCCTCTCCCGTCTCGCCACGCGGAGACGACGCGCGATTTCCTGATGAAAATAAATCGACGCGGCCCAACCGTGGATTAAAGATTCCCTTTTCTTTTTTTTTTTTTTTGACCTTGAAAATTGGTAACGACCGGTTATTTCCTTCGGATGAAGAAATACATTCGGTTGTTCGTCTGAGATTCACACTGTACCGGCTCGCCGTTCAATTCGATCTGCCGCGATCTGTTTCACGAAATTCTCAATTCTGCTACTATCGGAATATTCAATCGTTTATTTGTGAAACACGCACAGTGTTTATTAATATTAATAATGTTATACGTGTTATTATTGTACATATTTATATAATATTTTAATAATATTATACATCACATATGGCGAGAACATTTTTTTCATTCGTTATGATCTTTCGCATCATATTATATAATATAAAATATCTTTATATCTTTAGATAAAATATCTTAAAAAGATAAAGATAAAATATCTTTCGTAACATATTATATAATATTTTAATAATATTATACATCACTATGGCAAGAACATTCTTTTCTTTCGTATCACAGCTAACGTCTCATTAATATTCTTAGCTGATTTTTAGGTTAGGTTATATCTCATTCTATATATGTATATAATATACATAGATTATTATAATTATAATTTAATAATAATAACAACATTAATATTAATATATTGATATAGCCAACGAAATAAATCGCGGCACGCCATTTTAGGAGAGACTGTCAAATTTTAAATTCCACCATCGATCATTCGTCTAAATCTTGACGAATCTCCGCTCTCGAGCAATAAAAGTGTCAACGCAGACTTCCATTTGTCCTGCGAGGAGAAACATTCTCCCACGTAAATTAAGCGATTCTAATTTACACACGGTTTTACGGCTTGCCTGTAAATTGCCAATCGTCCCGACTTTATCTTCTTTCCGTGGACAAATTTGTCGGAGCGTAGCTTAAAACCGACAATTAATATAGGATTTAATGAATCACCGGGGACACTTAGGCTAGTTGCCGGGCTATTGTCCGCAATGGTACTGTTGGCTTAGGCTAATTGTAAGACAGGTACGTGGCCGTCAGTTCACATGTCTTTACGATCCTTCCTAAGCCCAGAATACACACTTTTTCGATTGTTAGTTACGAAAATTCCGAAAACTGCACCCGGAGAAATCTTTTGTCGCGCCTTTGCCTGCTGTGCGGCGGGGAGGGGGGGGAGGAGAGAGAGAGAAGCAACTTTAATTGCTTTATTACCCAGGAGAATTTTGCGAGAAGCCGGGCTGCACGTCAATAAAACCGATTTTACCGAGCCATCGTAAACTTTATGCCGGCGGCATAAGCACACACCGAGCAACGTCAAAGTTTTTCACTTGGCCCGGGATGCTTCGACGATTTCGTGCTTTCCCCGGGCCTGGAGAAGAGAGAGAGCTGGCGACGCCGAATAAAATGTGGAGAAGAAAAAAGAGAGGAGCGTTTAACGACTCACCTGTTTGCCCGACCATCCCCCTTTTCATCCCTCTCTTCCTCTCGACCCCTTCTCTTTTCATAATCTGGCGAACATCCGCAAGGCTCGTTACCTATCATTTGCTAATTTCGTGCGAAACGCAATTCGCGAGGTTTAATCTGTCAAGAAAACGATCAAGACGAATTGTTATTTCCTATTTATGCAGGATTGCGATTGTCTACAGTAGTGTTTGACCAATTTTATGAATGTACGAAATATTAGGAAATATTGTATGAGGGATAATTTGTAGGATAGACTCTCAGATGCAGTATGAGTAGGTACCTGATTCGATATTTAAAATTACCAAAAGTAAGTTGGTACTTGCTTGATACTCAAAATTATCAAAAGTAAATAAATAAATAAATAAATAAATAAATTATGAATCAAAAGGCCCGAGACATCTTTTGTGTCTGTCTTATATTTTTCCTTCAGTGTGAATTTTATGTACGACTTTCTTTACAGGTTTAAAAATTGAACACCGAATGAAGAGCATATATAACAAATTAGAAATACAATTAAATATCTTCGAACGTTGATCTTTTGATATATTTATTCAATGTATTGTAATATATTGAATATCTAATAACTAATTCAATTATCTAAACAATGTCATTGATATAATTATTATACAGGGAAAATCCTTTTTGTATAAAATCAAGCGTCCAGGTGAAAATCAAAGACAGTATCATAGTACAGAAATGAATAAGATTGATACATAAATGTAATAATTATCAACACAAGATGAAGTAATAAACAGAAGAAAACAAATTGTACAACAAGGTATGCTAATGAATAAAGGGAATGAGTCATGCTAAGATGTTGACACATGCTTCCTCTTTGAAGCAGCAAATTGAAAAGAAGTTAGTCATGACAGTCGTATTTACTAACGGAAACTTCGAAATTCTTCAATACAAGGATAAAAGTTTACGGTAATAAACATTTTGGAATACTTTCTGTGAATCACACAGTTTATACAGAATGATTTATTAAAGCAATACAGGATGATTTATTAAAGCAAAATGATTTCTAATCTAGTCGTTCAATTGTAATTCTTTCAAGTTCTCAATGATCTTAAATACATTCTTTAAATATCTGTAATTTGCTAATGAAAGTGTGCATCGATGGTTTTCAACGCACGTCGTGGACTTACGTCGAAAATAAAGGGAAGGAGAGCATGAGCAATTACCGAGAGTAGTTAACGAGGTGGCCTCGTGGCCTCACAGACCCCTCTCTCTCTCTCTCTCTCTCTCTCTCTCTCTCTCTCTCT